GGTGATGGTTTCAACAACTTCTTTTGAATATACTGAAGACCATCAAATTGCACCTTTTTAGTAGGCTGAATTATATAATAATTCACAAAGCACACCTCAAGAAAGCTACCACGGATGTTTAAAGAAAACAGTATCTTGGTTGGTTTGATGCAGTGAAATTTCAATCTTACCTCTTGAAAAACGAAGATTGGGGCTGAGGGTCTAATTCAGTGGTGCGATTATTGCTCCAAATGCACAATAACAACAAGGCAAAGGTTGTTCTAACTTAAGTTACATAGTTTAAAAACATGAATTTGGCAAAATTAAAATGCTCATACATGAAAAAATATCACATAGAAGATGCAAAAAAGCATTTATATCCTGAGGACAGCAGATCATTTATACAGTGAGACTTAGAGATAAGTCTTTAACTCACTCAAAATTCAGCTTTAAACTTTTTACCTTATAAGGTTGAAATCAAGTCTAGCCATGTCAGCATTATCTTCTGGAATATTTCGGGCCAAGATTCCTAATGCAATCAAGTGGGAGGTACATAATTAGTTTATGCTGTGTAGTCCCATCAGTCACAAGGTAAAAAACTGTCTAGTATTCTTTTTATTTCTGAGGCAGGGTCTCACTCTGTAGACCAGGCTGGCCTCAAACTCAGAGATCTATCTGCCTCTGCCTCCCAAGTGCCGGGATGAAAGGCGTGCACTGCTACGTCTTAAACTCCTGGGTTCAAATGATCCTCCTGCCTCAGCCTTCTAAGTATTAGGATTACAGGTTTGTGCAAATGCACCAAGCACCTAATATTCTTAAAGAGCATTACGCACAGCTGAAGAGTTCTGCAACAAAAAATTAGAGAATTTAACAACAGACAGTGGTGCAGGCCTGGACTCTAAACACCCAGGTTAAGGCAGGGGGACAGCAGCAGGTTCGAAAGCAAGCCTGGGCTACCAAGCAAGGCCATATTTCAATAAAACAACAACAACAAAACCAACCCAGAACAGAACACCTTTTCCCTCAACGAGTAAACGTCGCCGGGCCTGGTGCCTCACACCTGCGATCCCAGCACTTAGGAGGCTGGTAAGAGTTCCAGGCTAGCATGGAACACAGAGTGGAGTCCGAGTTAGTCTTGCCTCAGGGTGGGCCTGTCTCAAAAAACCGAAACAAATCTAATTCCTTTTTCTCCGGCAAAACAAATAAAACCCCAAACCCAAAAAAAACTGTAAAAGGAATTTTCACGTCACCTCTACCAGTCTTTCCATCTACGTTTTCATAAGCAATAGCTCACAACTTGACTGGTAATCCTTCGCTTTCAGCATTTTTTCTTTTAGATTTATTTATTTTATGTGCATGACTGTTTGGCCTGTGTTATCTGTATGTGCACCATCCATGCCTGGTACCCCAGGAGGTCAAAACAAAGAAGTGGAACCCCTGATGAGCTGTTATGTAGGTGCCGGGAACTGAACCTGTGTCTTCTGCCAGGCGAACCAGTGCTCTCCACTGCTAAGGCCCAGCCATCCCTCTAGCCAGGCTTTCTGGCCTTGCTTCTCAAGGTTCACCTACAGCTCGCAAGACAGAAATACACTTCCTGCTGCTGTGACTGTTTACAGAGGGTTTGCTGTGCCTGACAAATGAACAGAAGTCACCTTCTTTCGAGAGTCAGTTACAGTTTAACACCATAGTCCAAGTCTGAACTCCTGCAGAAGTCTACAGTCAGACTCTAACGAGGAAACACTGCAATCCAGATTAGCCGAACTAGTCATTAGTCAAGATCAACAGCAACTGGGGGAAAGCGATCTGGACTCGTCCTGCGGTGAGGCCAGTCATCTTCCAAAGGGATTCTAATAGACTATGAAATCAGAAGGCAAAGCTGATAAAATCAACACAACTGTTTAAAAACACCGTTTTGGAGCTTATGACTTATGTCTTCTTCCTATGTCCTTCGAAGCTCTTAACCAAAGCATCTGTTATAAACGGAAGGCGTCAACCACTTACCAGCATGAACAGCAGGATGCAAGGTCTTCACACGCCCCCCCAACATTTCAGGAAAACCCGTCAGCTCAGACACATCTCTGAAAACAGAGTAACGAAAACAGTTACGAAATTATCATTTTCCACTCCTCAGGCAAATCCCACCAAGTTTACTAAACTCAGTCCGGGAGATTATTTTTTTCAAGTCCAACTTAAACAAGTATATTTTTAAATTTTTTAAACCTTTAAATTTTTTTCACTATGCTGGATTTCCAAATTTTATTTATTTTACAAAAAATGTTATGTTTTCTGAATGATATGTGTTTTAGAGAATCCATTAGGTATGAAAGCATTGGCTTTACAATTTCCAGAGACATAAGTCAATATCTTTAATCAAGAAATAAATTCAATGGAGAGTCATTTATAGAGAATTAACAACAACGAACATTAAACATATCTTTGGACTAGAAGTATAGCTCAGTGTACAAAGTTCGCCTCGAATGCACAAGGTCCTGTATAAAACAAACAAAACCACCCAGAAACCAAAAAGGAGAAAAACGAATTTAATTTTACAAGAGCTAGGAATATTACTTGGTTGTGTAGCCTGTCTTGGCTATGTGGGGGCCTGGGTTTAATTCTCAGTACTATGCACAGAGGGTGGGGGAATTTAGTCTAATGGCCATTAGATAGGTCTTTGCTGGGAGTGGCCACACACACACCTGAATTCCTAGCCCTTAAGAGACTGAGGTCACAGGATCTGGACTTCTAGGTCAGTTGGGGCTACATTGTGAGACAGTCTAAACTGAAGAGTTTCTGGTCCATTGAGAGACTCAGCTCAAAAAAAAAAAAAAGTGTGTGTGTATGGGGGGACATGAACCTGCCTTGGAACTGAGTTCAATCCCTAGGCTCCACATAATGGGAGAGAACCAACTCCCTTCCTGCATGCCTGAATAGCAACAAAAAAAATGCCATAAAATATATTTTAAAATCTGTATATAAAGCTTGCAATCTGCTCACTACTGCACCTCACTAATGGTACTCTCATCTGTTTGTTGCACAAGGCATTGGTCAACTTCCTGGGAGAAAATCTTGACCTCTTTCTTGGCTAACTGCATGACCTTGGACAAGTTACTTCTTTGTGCCTGTGTTTCAAATACACACTTGTCCAACAAGGACAATCAAGAAAAGATGTTACAACAACTGTAAGAACTAATCATGGAACATGCCTCCCACTTGTCCACATTCCACTCAGTGAACACGACTGAGCCAGGCTCTAAATAAACCATGTAGGCCACACACACTCACTCTCTGCAGGAAATATACTGATGTTCTTCATCTTTAAAAGATATCCACAATCCAACATTCACTCAAGGAGGCTGAAGCGGGAGGGTCATAAGTTTAAGACCAGCCTGGGCAACTCAAGAGACCTTGGTTCTCAATTTCAAAGGTTTCTCAAGTAAAATAACGAAAGATGAGCTAGGGATATGGCTCAGTGGCTGACTAGGCAGGACACTGGGGTCAATGTTCAATACCACCAAAAGACTAAGAATCAAAAAGCTACTGGCAGAATGGGGGCAAGCAGGGATTGGGCAGTGGCTTGGGAATATGAATGACCATCTGATAAACATTTAAACCAGGTGATGCACCATGTAAGGACTCCTTATACTTCATAATTTTGATTCGTTTGAAACGCAACAGCAACAATGGTGGGCACCAGCTTGGCCACAGGACCCAGAGACTCACAACAGCCTAACTGTCTGCTGTCCCTGATGCTCCTGATTCTCATGAGAAGTTGCAAAAAGATCCTAATGAGAAACACTCATTTAAGAAGTAATGGCATTCTTGCAGTCTGAAACTGTCGAATCTAGAGGGGATACGTATTGCTCACACAGACTAGAGTATGAAGAGGTGGATAATAAACCTCTCCAGGAATTATCCATAGGCCAAGAATTGTTATGGCAAGCAAGACAGACAACAGGTCTTTTATTGTCTATCTGAATATTATCCCAGTGGTTAAGTGTGTCCTTCCTCTGAACTTCCTGTCCTTGAGATCTTTTTCCTTTTCTATCTTCCAGACATTCGGGATCATCTCCTGACTTCTCTTGTCAATCAATCCCTTCCCACTGCCTAGTCGTCAGGTGATGGGCAGCTTGTGAGGAAGCCAATGACTTGTGCTTTCACAGGGTTACAGGATGCTAATGGAAGAGGCAGCTAGCTGTAAATCATGACGTTAAAGCCAGGCCTTCCTTGGTCACTGAGAATTTGTGTTTGTTGTGCATAACAAACGGCCTGCCTAAATTGATTTGCTTGCAAACAGCGGCTGAGTGCTACCCCACGTCTACCCCTCGCTGTTTGTTATGCTGTTACGTGGGAGTTTCCTCTTCCACAAATGAGTAGGGTCATATGGGCCTCACAGTGTTACTGGGAGTAGGTTATTTTCCTCACAGTGCCTGGATTACATCTCTTCCGGGTTACTATGGTCACCACGTTTTTCTCCCTGGACTTACCTTTAACACTACTTGACTGCCTTACCTGACTGCCAGGCCAGCATCCCTGAGCGCTTTGGCCGTGCCTCCGGAAGCGACTAGACCCAAACCAAGAGAGGCGAGGTTTCTGGCAAATTCCACTAGGCCAGTTTTGTCAGACACACTGAACAGAGCTGAAACAGAAGGCATTGCTCATTATTCGCGGGCTTTTTGCACGGCGTTCTCCCGGGACTGGGGAGGGGCCATGCGATGGCAGCAGGGCCCAGGCCCGGCACTGGGGCCACCCAAGTCTGCAGGCCCGGCTCCGGGCCTTCCCCAGCTCGGCCAGCGGCGGGCGTGCTGCACAGGCGGGTGGCGGAGCTGGGGCAGGCAGAACCGGGCCGTGCTCCGCGAGGGCCTCACCAAGCTGGCCGGGAGCCATGGCTGCAGCAGCGGGGGTCGCGGAGGAAGAAGATGGGCAGGCCACGTGCGTACGCCGGGACCCCGCGGTTCAGGAAGCGGTGGGCGGGGCGTGCTGACCCCCCACGTGACCCGAGGCCCCGCCCCGGCCCCGCGAAGCTGCAGCCTAGGGCGGGAGGTGCCGCTGGGCGGGGCAGCAGCTGATGCCGAGCCGGGAATTTGCAGCCGCGGGCTTCCGGACTCAGACACCACCAGATCTGGGCGTGCACGCCCGGGATTCGCGGGATTTTTTGGGAGGGTGCAGCCGAGGTCCCGGGAGGCGGGGCGGTCGAGGCCCAAGCACCGATTGGGGGAACTAGCCAGAGAAATAAACAGTCCCCAGTCGAGGGCGAAGTCAGAATTTGTGCAGCCTTCTACCATGATCGCCTTTTTTTTTTTTTTTTTTTTTTTTTTTTTTTTTACAGGTTTGGGAAGCAAGCCTGAGACCTACAGATGAAGTCATTGACTCCACAGCCCAGTTGAGAGCCCAAACGAAGTGAAATTGACCATCACTTGAGGTTTTCATACCTTATTATAAAACGGCCTAGAATTTACATCAAGATCACCGTCTTGCAAATAGGTAAAATGTTCTTTTCCTTCAAGCCCAGGTGAGAAGAGTGATAATAATTAAAGGTTGCAACAAGACTTCTTTACTAAAAAACGGAATAGCAAAGTTGAACACCTAAGTCTTTTTAATAAAAGTGACACCTTTGGCACAAAATAAACACATCTTGCTGTGAACACAGCTCTATTTTTGACGTTAGTGTTTTAATATTATTAATTTTTGTTTTTAATTGTTTTTATTTTTAACCTTCTTTAATACAATTCAACAAAAGAACCTACAATTCTGTAGAATAACCCAAAATGCTACAATTCTATTAAAAACCTAGCTTTTTATTTCCAGTCTAGGCTCCCAATCTGTGCAAAATCTATTTTTCTGTTGCCTGGGTGCTATTTATTTTTGCTTCTCGTCTTCCCCTCTCTAATAGTCCAATCTCTTTTTACTCCCTCAAATACCTATTGACCAGAATCAAGAGTTTCATTTTTCCCTTACCTCTAAACACCTCTCACATTTCTAAGAAAGATATATTAAGATCATCATAGTGTCTTCAGAATGTGTTAACAACTTTAAATGTACAGAGATGAGGTTCATGGTTAGTGGTACAGGGAACTACCCTGGCCAATCACATTAGATTTCATTGGAGCCAGGTGGTGACGCATGCACTCTAGGGAGGCAGAGCCAGGCAATTTTCTGTGAGTTCAAGGCCACCCTGGTCTATAGAGTGAGATCCAGGACAGGCACCAAAACTATAAAGAGAAACCCTGTCTCGAAAAACCAAACCAAACCAAAACAAAACAAAAATTTCTATAGGAACTAGAAAGCAAAGAAAACAGTAAACAATGAAAGGAAATAAACAATGCTTGGATATTAGACATTTCCCTCGTAAATTATTATATATATATATATATATATATATATATATATATATATATACACACACATATGTACTTAATTTGGTAAATATTTATTGAACCCCTTCTGCCTGACATAAAGACAGAAAACTATGGCCTGATTGCCCGCCCAGGTACTCAAGATGGGAAGAAAGTACAGACGCATACCCTGGAGCAGTGAACAAAGAAAACAAGGTATTACATTGAATTAACTCAGGCCCCTGGTAACAGAGCGAGACACATTCCTTTAATTTAAAGCCATTGAAATTAGTTCTGATTAATTTAATTCTCTCATAGTTTTAGAATACAGACTTGATTGTTCTTTCACATGTTAGTAACAGGAAGAAAAAAAGTTTTGTTCTTAGTTTCGTCACCCTGGACAAAGTCACTTCTTCGGGGTGGGGGGGGGCGGTCATCACTGCCTTTCCTATAATACTGAATGAACAAATTTTGAAGTGACCGGCAAATGTGGTAACATACAAGGATGCCTCCTCCATTCGTCCTCTTGACCACCTGGATATGTCTCGGAGCTTCTGATTACATCCTTGACGATGCCCATCGAAAGCAAGCTAGCATCTTGGGAGCGAGAGATCCATCATTCAGGAAGCGCTAATCAACCACTGGTACTGCTGTTGCAGACTGACTGACAGCGAATAGGTAAATTCTATAATGATTACACTTGCGTATCTTTTTATTTTCTACCCCACCCAAAGGGAGCTTGAGGACCCTAAAGACCCTAACACATCTGAAAAGTCTCGTGTATATGTTTTTCCAATCTTGAATGTACTACAGTTTGATTTTGCTTCATGGTGTTTGTTCCTTGTGGCAGTTTACTACTACAAGTAAGTCTCTGTCCCATTCCCACATGTAGGCTTTTCTGATAGCTATTGAAGCTGATTTATGTTGGACTCACTCCAATGAAGGGTTTGTGCAATCCAGTGGGAATATCTGTCAAAAGAAGCGATTTCCTGGAGGTTTAAATTATTGGGTTAATATACTAAGTATTTTCTACAAAATCACTTTTGGTAGAGAATGTTAGTTGAGAAGGTTAACCTAATACATATCAAGAAATGCAAGCATTTCCCCTGAGGTCTGGGAACTGTTTGGAAACAGCAAGTTGGCAATAATACAAAATTGAGTAAGAATGAGAAAGCAGTTTGGAAGGTTCTGGAACTAGCTCACTGTAAACCAGAAGAAGCTGCATCCTCATTAAAGATCCTGAAAGCATCACAATTATGGAGAGATAGAATGTTACATCTCTAGAGTTATCTTAGACCCTTTATTTAAAAAAAAAAAAAAGGCCAATTCTGAATCTTATATCTTACCTAACTTTCTTATTACCCCTTGGACTATCACTTTCGTAGACCTCTGGCCTTGAGTTACCCTAAGGCTAAGAATAACAAGATAACATCTAAAACCACCTTCCTTTTCTGTAACCAGCCTACATAATGCCCCCCCCCCCCCCAGTGCTTTTCTTAGCTGCATCAATAGTTGACCTTCCTTGTCTCTTTGCTTTAGAGCAGCAGGTCATTCAAGATGTCTTGAATCTGAGTTTCCAAGTCACCATCACTCATGTTTGGTTTAGAATAAACAATTTCTTATTCCTTTAATGCAGAGTCGTTATTTTATCTTCCTGTCATAACTACTCTTAACCAAAGATGTGAAACCACGAAAAGGAAGGAAGTGTGTGTGTGTGTATGTGTGTGTGTGTGGACTTGGAAGGTGGCTAAGTGGTAGAGTGCTTCTTAGCATGTGCAAAGGCTCAATTCACAACAATGCAGAAATGAAAGAATAAATGAGTGAGGAAAAAAGAAAATGGTCTAGAAAAAAAACAAAATCAGAGGTAAAGAACAGGAAGACACAGAAATCTATGGGGTATGAGAGATCCATCATTTCTACCTTGGTTATACAACTATATAGTGGGGCAGGTAACCTGTACATTATTATATACCTATGCAAATAAGACAGTATAGTCTCAGTATCTGTATATTTTGTGTAAAGTCAATGTGAGTAGTTGTGCAAATCATTTGAGTTTCTAAATATTGATTTTGAAGTACAGATAACTGATAGACATACTCTAAAATCGTATCAGAGGGTGTTTGAGGGTTTCTGTTGCTGCAAAGCACTGTGACCAAAAAGCAAGTTGGGGAGGAGGAAAGGGTTTCTTTGGCTAATACTTCCACAATGTAGTCCATCACTGAAGGAAGCCAAGACAGGAACTCAAACGGCAGGAACCTGGAGGCAGGAGCTGATGCAGAGAGACCGTGGAGGAGTGCTGCTTATTAGCTTGTTCCATATGGCTTACTCAGCCTGCTTTCTTATAGAACCGAGAACCACCAACCCACGGGTGGGACCACCCACAATGGGCTGGGCCCTCTCCCATTGACCATTAATTTAGAAAATGCTCCACAGGCTGCCCTGCAGCTCTATGGTATGGAGGCATTTTCTCAATTGAGGTCCCCTCCTTTCAGATGACAATAGCTTGTATCAAGTTGACATAAATCTAGCCAGCACAGAGGGTGTTGAAATTATGAATGCAAATTAGCAATGGGAGAGACAGCTAAAGGTAAACAAATTTGGAAAGTTAATGACATCGAAGGCCTAGAAGTTGATAAACCTAGAAGAAGATAAGAGTGCTTTATTAGGTTTGCAAACAGACTGAGCAAGAGGTCAGTCCAAAAGCAGAAAATGTGTTCAAACAAGTATTTAATATTCTAGGAGTATGTGCGGATGTAGCTAGTAGAATTCAAGCCATAGGTTCATGATGATATTAAAACAAGTGCTTTTCTTATAAGTGTTTATTGAGGATGTTGTACATTTTTTAGTGGATTCAGATATCCATATATACGAAGTGTTAGGCACATATTTGTAATCCCAACACTTGGAGGGTGAGTGGGAGGAAGATTGTGAAGCCTGAGGCCAGCCAGGGCAACATAGTGAGACCTCTAAAATAAATAAACAAATAAGCAAAAACAAGCATCAAACAAAACCAATCTCTTTTGAGAGTTGTTTATGATTTATATGAGAAATGCCACCCATAGTCTGTGGCATTTGAATGCCTGGTCTTCAGTTGGTGGCGCTGTTTGGGGAGGCTTACGAGGTGTGGCCTTGTTGGAGTAAGTCACTGGGAGTGGGCTTTGAGAGTAAAAGACCAGCAATATTTGTTTCTTCTTCACTCTCTGTCTCTGTTTTGTGTTTACAGTTCAAGATGTGAGCTCTTAGCCTCCTATTCCTTTCACTGTGGACTCTTACCCTCTGGAACCATAAGCCCAAATAAACTCCTTCTGATTGGAATTAAGTCCCACTCCATGGAGCACATGCCTGACAATGCCTGGATGGTCACAAACATGAGATTAGATAGGACATAGACCCAGGGGAAAATCAAATACTGTTCTGCTAAATGAATGTAGCAATAAAAATGACTCCTAACAACATTCTGCCATACAGTATCTTGCTCAGCCATCATCAGAGAAGCTTCCTCCTGCAGTAGATGGGAACAAATACAGAGACCCACAACTGGAGAATGTGTAGAGAGCAAGAGACCTTGGGACATTCAGTTCTAGGTGAGATGTCTCCATCAGATCTTGCCCACAGGGTTCAGGAATCTCTGGAAGAGGAGGAGACAGAAAGAATGTAAGAGCCAGTAGGGATGGAAGACATCAAGGAAATAAGGCCTTGTAGACATAACAGGACTGAAGCACATATGAACTCATGGGTGGCAGCATGCGCAGGGCCTACACAGGTTTACGCTACAGGGGGGTCCCATCACTGACACGAGCCCCCATCCCAAACCCAGAAGCTATCTCCAATTGATAACTGCCCACAAAGGAAGTTAGTTTTCCCCAGTGGAGTCTCGCTGGGTATACAAACCACACTTAAGGGAGGCCCCATGTCCAGCAGTAGATGGCCAACACAGAATGATCTCGATGGTACGTTTGGAGGTTTTCTTGATGTCATGGCACTTTGTCTGTTTTTCTTGTTTTTGTTTTCCCTTACAGACCTTTTGCTTATACGTTATGGCTTCTGATTTTGTTTTTACAGGTTTCCTGTGTGTGCGAGTGTGTATGTGTCTCCTTGCCTGTTGGTTTTCTAAAGAGAGAGAAAGGTTTGGATTTGGGTGGGTGGGTAAGTCTGGGAGGAACTGGGGGAGGGGAAACTGTAATCAGAATATATTGTATGAAGATTCTTGAATTAAAAAAAAAGAGCTGGCAGTCTCAGAGAAGAAAAAAGTTAATAAGCAAAAGGAACTGATAAATGTTACAGGATGTTAGATGAAGATACCTCACCATTATCGAAGACAGTAGTGGACCAGAAGAGAGCTGCCATGGTTTACAGGCCTGCTTCACCACGGTCAGGACAGGGAGCTGCATTTTTTAAAAAATTCTCTCATATATTGCATCCTGGACGGCAGTTTCCATCCCCTCCGCTTCTCCCAGTCCATCCCCCGTCCTTCTCCTCTCCCCCAGATCTACTTTGCCTCCATTTCCCTTCAGAAAAGGGCAGACAGGAGTTGCAATTTTAAGCAGGCTTGTCAGAGAAACTTTTTCACTGATCACAGCAAAGAGCCGAATACTGAGTAGGGGGACAGAAAACTTGAGGGAGAGTGTTCCAGGCTGAGAGAAACCAGCAAATGCCAAGGCCCTACAGAGAGAGGGAGTGTGCTGGTAGAGTTTTGGGAACAGCCGGAAGAGCAGAATGGTTGCAACGCGGGAAACAGAGGGAGGAAGCCGAGTGACAGGTGGAATAAGGCACCATGAGCCACTGGAAAGAACTGGGCTTCGATTCCAAATGAGAAGGAAGCTTTGGGAAACTTGGGGCGGAAGTGGCATTTAATCCATCGGTGCTAGATCACTCCAGCTGTGGAGCTCAGAGGTGAAGGGAGTAGACAGACCCCAGGGGAGACTTTCAGTGCATGCCAGGGCAAGACCTGGGTGGTGTGGCTCAGAGCTTCTGCCGTGGATGGACTAATGAGGAGGAGGATATATAGGCATGCGTGCATGCTCTGGGTACAGGCAGGGGTGCTTCATAACTCATGTGCTCCCCACTTCCCTCCTGTTATGTTCTGGTCTCGAGAGCTGGTGAGAAAAGAGACTCCAGGCAAGTCTAGGTCGAGCTAACCCCACAGTACAGTTCTGGGTAAAATGTCTCTTCAGCTGTCACCATGTCTACCTGCAGAGCCTGTGGAAGACTCTGCCCCCAGGTCAAGGTAACAAAGGGGATAGAAGCTGTGTGAGCGAAGAGGTGTCAGACCTTCTCGGCTTGTGCCAGCCACTCACTGGACATGGGCAAGCCCAGCTGAAGAGTCAGCGTGTTTTCATCAAACGTGGCCTTTATGCCTCCAAAATGTACCTGGACAGCTGTTGCCGTAACCTACACGCCAGTATTATCTATGCAAAGTCAGTGGGAAACTAATAAGGCATCACTCCAGCTGTGTAACCTTCAGATGTAGCCATTTTTTAGTCAACGGAAAGCTAGTGAAGCTAGATGGTATGTTTAGACTTCTTTTTCTATTTAACCCTCAGTAACATGAAGGGAGAGAGATGTGTTATAAAGTGATTAGTGACGCAAGTGAAAAACACAAGGAAAACTGAGGGTACGCAGAAAGGAAAAAGAATCCTTCCCCCCTGCACCCCAGGTCTGGTCTACACATGTCTTCAGTCAAAAATGTCTGAACAACCAACAGCACTTGGCACAAAGATACAATATTCTCTTTATACAGAGAGATTTTAAACAAGAACGTTAAGATAGCAATGCACCATGCTCAAGGTGTAGGTGTACATGCTGTTCAGATAGCTTCCTTCTTTCCCAGATATAACCCTGCTTCTGTCCCTGTCTTCTGGGACTCTCACGAACTTCATTTATAGTCTTTAAACATATCTTAACTGCCTCCTGTAACCTTTGTGACCTAGGATTTTATCTGATCAGCTGTAATTCTGTCCAGTGCACCCAAGGAACCACATTTAAGTTCCTTGGCAACCATTTGAGATGTAACTGCAGAAGCCCCCGAAATGTTGACTATCGTTATTGCAGAGGTACTCAAGGGCATCTCTCTTGGGAAGCCTACACTAGTGCTTAGGTATGTACTATCCTTTCCTTAACCACTTTTCTTCCTATGAGCCCCATGCTTAAATCTTCATGACTTCCTCTTAATAACTTGCTGTGGAATAATCCTTCTGTACATGATGTGAATATATGTCGCTATGATTGGTTTTAATAAACAAGCTGATTGGCCAATAGACAGAACAGGATAAAGTTAGGCAGGAAAGCCAGACTGAAGATGGGA